ACACACACACACACACACACACACACACACACACACACACACACACTCTAAGTAACTGAAAATGTGGCGCTCAGCGTTGATGACTACGACCGGTTTTTCTTGATTCACCGCATATGTCTAAAAAGTCTCTTCTTTCCATTGCTCCCAGACGATTTATTACTCGTTCTCTTTATGGTGTTTCAGTTCTGGGACAAGATAAGGCCGAGATAAGGATGCTTCATGATTGTGAGGATGGAAGAGGTTTACGTGGATGAGGAAGAGAAAGCTTACTGTGACTAGCCTAATCCAGTACTGGTTTCAAGTATTTGTTTAATGACAGTCTGGTGGTCGTGTGTGTGTGTGTTGATTCCACACTATCGTCTCTCATCTCATATAACTATACGTCTAGGTCTTAATCAGCCAATGGGAATATAATATTTCATTGCACAACGACAGTAACCTGATATTCTACCGCTCCCTGGGCTTGTGAAATCAGCCTAGATTACGTACGCTAAGTTATGGAACGCTAAATGCGGTTAATGGAAGTCAAGTTACGATAAGCCAGGCTAGTCACGATATTGAGGAAACATAATGCATAAAGTTTACATCATAGAGAAGATTAAGGTTTTAATTTTAATTATGTAACGTTGATGCTTATTATGGGATCACTCTAGGCACGGTACACGGTCTTAAAACTTATCGAAACAATTTTTGTATAGTTGATAGGCTCGTAATGCCTTTTGCTATGTGACGCCGTGCCTCACCCAACATCCATTGACGACAAGATAAATGGTCGACAACATTATCCGCTCTTAAGGTTCCAGTGCAATCCTTAAAACAGGCCACTCATCTGGGTCTATATGTTGCCGCCGTTATTATGTAATTGGGATATAATACTGAAGAAGGAAAAATAGATCACCTTTGAGTTGTTGTGTTCGTTTTATTGTTGTAATAGTAATGTTTTTGTGGGGGGGGGGTAACTTTTATATATGTTAGGCAACTGGACAGGTGCGCGCGTTATGAAACAGGTCTAACGTGCAGTGTCGGGAGTTTCACCACAATAAAATTATGTATTCCAGATATATCATTATATTGGACTTGCATCATTCAGTCATGTACGTCACAAAGACAGACACGACTCAATCACTTATACACAATTTATTTAAGTCATGTAAGTGCAGGTTCACCATGCAGTACTCATGTAAGTCACAGACGGATACTGAACAAAGACGTTAGTTCTAAGTCTTGTACACGTTAAGGTTCATTAAACACGTAGTGATACAAAACTGACTTGAAGGTGTGTGTGGAGGCCGCTAAGGTTTATTGGTCTGTGTAATGCTGAAGGGAAGCTTGTAAACACTAGCCATAGGTAAACATCATCACGTGGCCATCAGCTGGTCATCACCTAGGCAGCAACACTACGGTACTGTGTTAACACGGACCTGCCCTTGTATCGTTGGCCAACGCCCTATACTTTCTCACCGTGACCCCTTCTACCCTACAGCGAGCCACAACACCCCCGTAAACCACACAACAAAAAGTGGTCTGGTGTTCAGATTCCAACCATATATTAGCGTCATGGCTGCCCTGTCACCCAACATTCTTGGATTTTACGACAGGTGCGACCTATGATCTGGGACGTAACGAGGCAGGGCAGAAAAAGCTTCACCTTCCACAGCGAGGAACAAAGCCAGATGACTTTCGTGACAGACGGTAGAACAGAAGTAGTCGTCGCTAACTATGCTAACAGCCGGTAATTAATACAAATAAGACCTCAGGAGATACAGCAACAGTCTTTCAATGCCACTTCCTGCATGTGAGCTGGCAGAGGGCGTAATACATGGAGCGGTCAGGTGGTGTAGATGGTAATGGAGGATGCAGGTGATGGGCTAAGTTATACGGCCACTGTATTAGCTGGCCTGATACACTGCCCCCCCCAAGAGCTGCTGGGCCCATGTTAGGTTAGGATAGTTACCTTCGTGTAGGATAATAAGCAACATTGGGTAGGTTGTTGATGTCTTTACTGGGCTTCAACAACTAAGGTCTTTAAGCGCGTAATACGGTTAGTGATTACACAATTCCACCAAGAACTAAAAATTATGATATTAAACTTCCTTGTTGTTTTGTAAATGAAAGTTATTTTGAGTGCAGAGATTGTATTTGTGTTATTGGCTTTATGGGATACTAAATATGATGACTTTAGGTTGAATGAGTGAGATTTGATCAGTGTTCAGGTTGTACTGCGGGAAATATCAGGACTGGTGGGGCAGCTGAGTGAGTGAAGCTGCACCACACACTGAGGCCAGGGAAACTGTGTGTGTGTGTGTGTGTGTGTGCGTGTGCGTGTGCGTGTGTGTGTGTGTGTGTGTGTGTGTGTGTGTGTGTACTCTCGTATATTTTACGTAACTGATACATGTTTACCTAAATCGACACATGAACTCAACACCATAAATAAAAAGATTGTTATTGGTTGATGTTGCAGCGAACACAGTAAAAAGTTATTATTATATTGTATGTGTGTGGAACTAATGGCCGACTGTGGGTATGTGTTCCTCAATATTCTGGAACCTTTAGAAAATTCCTTCACGAAATATCATTATCTGTAATGTGTTCCAGTTCAGTAGCGAGTAACTGTCAGTGAAGATATTGACAGTTCTTCAGATAATAATTTATCTATGATGCCTGGCCTCATTAACAAATACGTTGGTAATTATGTTAAGATATTTTAGTGTAAATGAGTTAGAAAAATTGCATCAGCTACTGTTTACAATTTTACACGCTCTTCTGTGTTACACTGTATATTATAAGTAATGCAGTGAAGGCGAACATTAATAGAATGTTTCAGAGTGGTTCTAATAGAGTGATAACGGTACTAATAATGTTGACAACACCACAAGGACACACATTAGCTAAGCTTCACGGTGTTGTCATGCCCACCAGCATCTTCGTTGTCTAGGCTGACCTTATAACGGAATGTTTACCAGACGTGGCATCTGCTGAAAGAGAAATCAGTGTGAGGTACAGTCTCTCACCCTCAGCTCCTGGGAAATATCTCGCTGTGCTTTCTCTCTTCTTTACTTTCATGTTAAAATGTTATTATAACCAACCCGAGGCCGGCGTGGGAGAGTAGTCGCGGTAATGACTTCAAAGATGCACCAAACTCGAGTCTTTCACACACCGGCGGCTCTGATGATGATTAATAGACACGTTCGTGGTTCTCCGTAAACGTAACGTAATGACAACTTGGATCACGAAGCATAAAACTAAGATATGAATACGCGATTGTAGTGTGAGGTGGTCGCTGAGTGTGTGAGATTCCTGCGTGTGGGAGGCACAGTACTGTATATTACGTGGGAATCATCTTGCTGACAGAATGAACCTTCATAAATCTTTTGGGCAGGTTTCCAGCCAGTGAGCAAATAACGGATTCAAACACGCTTCCAACTTTCCTTTATGTAATGAAATTGTGCGTGGAATTCATGATGCATAAAACTATTCTTACATGGAGTAAAACATCTCTCAAGTTACGCAAGATTGGTGAAGGAAACCGTAAGTAACGGAAACAAGAGTAAATTACGTGTTTACAAGATATACTGCACAGCGGGATGTTGGGAACCTAAAAACGGTGGTTAATAGAATGTACAGAGTTGGTGGGAAGAGCCTCATCGTGGGATATATTATGAAGTGTACAGTATTATTTTATATTATGGCAATGGCGTCCAGTTTATGCGAGGATACAGTCATATATTTTTGTCCCCCACCCCCCAAAAAAAATGCTGCATAAGATAGACAGAGACATGAAAATTATGATAAACCGGTTACCTGTTGTTACACGTAGACAACTGGCTTGTGTTGATGGGACGCCGACTCTCATTACTTAACCAAAGAGAGACGAGTCAATCAAAACAAACATGGTACATAGGAGCTATAAATTAGACCTGTGATGGAAGGTAAACTTGTTTTGGGCCGCCATAAACGTCAACTAACAATGGTCGGGTCAGAACTGTGCCTTGTATAACGAAACGATGATTATGAGCCAACGCGGAAATATTGAAACAACTGTAACATTTAAGTTTCCAGACACAAACTATTCTAGAGTAAAATAACTCAGTTTTGTCGTCATAAATAAATAAGTCATCGTTACCAGCGTCTTGTTTGTCTTGCCTGCGACTGGTCTCTCATTGGTCAGCGAGTCTAGTAATCAGAGCCGCCGGTTGTTAGTGAAAACTTGTCTGTTTTTAACAACATAGAACCAGTTTAGGAGTAAGATTGATCACAGTGACTTGAATAAACTTATTTATTGCTCTTGAGGATAAAACGGTGGACATTAATCAACCCTCGCGCCCTGGCCCGCACCATTTTCCACGCATCATTAGACATAAACACACGTACAAGCCATTATGTTAACTCCCTGAGTAAGTTAACTTTCACCGTGGCTGAGTGGGGGCAACGTGAGGTGCCGCCACTGACGTGTTGGTCGTGTATCCTACGTAAACACCTTCTTGCTGCCACGCCCACCACGCTCTCCCCGCCCTGGCGTGGCAGAGAGGTGTGTCAAGGTCATGGATCAAAATCACAATGTCAGAAGTTAATTGGATGGTGATGGGATATTTATCTTAATCCATACTTAGCATTTAGCTTTCAGTCTAAGTTAGTTGACCATATTTCGATATGTGATGAGTATTGTGGATCCACGGCTGAATTTGTTCCTGTCGACCATTATATTACATGTTTATAGTTGTGTTTGTATGTCCGTATTTTCATATATCTATTAATATGTGTATATTTGTATCAGTAAGGTTAACACACCTATAATACCGACTCGACTCATCATCTACACTAGTGAAGTTGGATTCTACTGAATTTTTTTTCTGATTTTCTGAAGCAAAATAAAGCTTGACTTCCGTTGATATTATTATTATTATTATTATTATTATTATTATTATTATTATTATTATTATTATTATTATTATTATTATTATTATTCACGTTGCTAATTGTGGATGTCTTTCATGTTACAGATTCCCGATGTTTCCTCAGTCAGGGCGGCTCTGTGGAGAACTTCTTCATCAGGGAGAGTTTGGGCGTCGGCAGCGTCATCGGTGAGTGTCGACCAGCTGCTCAAACCTCCTCCTCCTCACACTCTCACGTGATGTTTTAACAATGACACACACGGTCTACACACACACACGGTCTACACACACACACACGGTCTACACACACACACGGTCTACACACACACGGTCTACACACACTCACGGTCTACACACACACACGACACACACACGGTCTACACACACACACACGGCTCCACACACACACACGGTCTACACACACTCACATCTACACACACACGGTCCACACACACACACGGTCTACACACACACACGATCTACACACACACGGTCTACACACACACACGGTCTACACACACACACACGGTCACACACACACACACACGGTCTACACACACACACACCACTATCTACACACACACACACGGTCTACACACACTCTCACACACACACACGGTCTACACACACGCACACGGTCTACACATGATCTAGACGCCCACTTCAATACGGTCTTAGTTGTTTGTATTAGTTAAGTAGATGTATTAAAAGAGATTATTTACGTTCATATGTTTTATTCTTTCGGAAGATAACTTTATTATTTTCCACTGTGATGATATTTAATGATATTTAAACCTTTTAATGCAATAATTATACCACGAGACTTACAGTTTATTTTCTTAAACTTAATCTGAAGGTCATGATAGCGTTAACTGAACTATATATTAATAACTCGTTCCTAACCCAACATTATGACTTACTGTTCCCTGATACACGATAATTTACCTTCTTGAATAATACACCAATTACATTAAAATTCGAAATAATTCACCTCGTAATTAAATCTACTAACTTTTAAAATAATCTTAAGTACACAAGACGTTAATTCCTTTGGTATATTTTTGTTTTATACTTTCTCTTGTGTTAACTTGACCTCGGTAAGTATGTTTGTATTACGATAACTTTACGATGCGGTGTGAGGACTAAACGATATGTATGATACGATGACTTATGTTCTGGAGGGTGACGAAGTGACCTGGGTGTACTGTACCTTCCTGACGGTGACCTGGGTGTACTGTACCCTCCTGACGGTGACCTGGGTGTACTTGTACCCTCCTGACGGTGACCTGGGTGTACTTGTACCCTCCTGACGGTGACCTGGGTGTGCTGTACCCTCCTGACGGTGACCTGGGTGTACTGTACCTTCCTGACGGTGACCTGGGTGTACTGTACCCTCCTGACGGTGACCTGGGTGTACTGTACCCTCCTGACGGTGTGGTGGCCATGTTTCAGGGACGCTGAGGCTGGAGGGTGACGCCAGTGCCTCCGGAGACATATACTTAAGACTGAAGGAGAAGAACTCGCCCGTCCAGATCTCCTCCAACTCCAAGAACCTCACTCTTACCCGGAAGCTGGACAAAGAGGTCAGTGTGTGTGTGTGTGTCACGATAAATACAGTAGTTTAGCTTGTATTTGAGATAGTGAGCAAATACTCTAAATATATCCAAAAATTCATCTCATTGTGTGTATATTGTCAGTAGGTCTCGTAAAGCAGCATACTATAGGGTGTGTGTGTGTATGGAGTATCGGGTAATATACTAAACTTAAGTCCACGTTTCAGGGCAAGGAGGGGGAAGCCCATGTAGTAGTCAACGTCATCTGTGATCGTCGAGGGACTACCGACCCTGTAAGTATACTGTGACTCACCAGCCTCCTGCCCAAGACTCATGAGTGTGGGGAGGAGCTTAAGGGGGCTAGTAAGTGTGGGGAGGGGTTTAAGGGGGCTAGCAAGTGTGGGGAGGGGCTTAAGGGGCTAACAAGTGTGGGGAGGGGCTTAAGGGCTAGCAAGTGTGGGAAGGGGTTCAAGAAGGATAGGATGTGTGGGAAGGGGCTCAAATAAATCATTTTAAACATTGATAAGATATAAAACAGCCGTGAAGTGTTCCTCTGACTCACTAGCAGCCACCTGGGCAAGTGTCTGAATGCTCGCCGGGTTTTCATGCAGCGGAGATATCCAGAATGACCGGCTAGACGAGAACCACAAGCTCAGGTGGCTGAATTTTTTTTTTACATTTGGTGGAACTCGGCTTTCCAAGCCGCAGTGAAGATAATTACGAATTATTTAGTATAATATATGTGTGTGTGTTTTATGCACTGCATAATGCATGTATGTACTGTATGTATATATGGTTATGTATATATACAGCATAATATATACTGCAGCAGGATATAGACATAAACATAATTGTTGTCATCTTAAAAAAAAATACGGACGAAGACCTCGCGACAGTTCTTGTTTAGTGTACAGAACGGAGGTCAGCGTCATACAGCAGAGTTCATGTAGATGTAAACTACAGAAGTACGAGGCTGAGGATGAAATGATTAACTCGCCCTGGTTAAACTCCACACAGTTTAATTGATGAAATTAAGAAAACTAACAAGTCAAGATTGTACCTCGACAGATTAACGAGATCGCTAGATCTGATAGTGTTCATTGAGGTCGCAACACTATCCTTAACAGCGAGGAACAAGGGCGTCATGGATCACACGCTGAAAGACCGTAGATCTAATTGTGAAATCCTGGAGGGAGATGGTTCTATCTGTCATCGCCAGACGATTATTAACGCAGATGTTACTGGATCGACAAGTCTGATATAGTGACAACCTCCACACCCTCACCTGAAGGACCGCGCCTTCTTGATGACACTAATAGGCCGGGCTGGCCCACATCCAGGCCTCAGGTGACGGTGTGGTGGCGGTATGGATGTTTGGAGTTTTAAAGGTAGGAAGACGCAGGGGGTCACTGTGTGGTGGGACGGATCACCTGTGGAGATCAGTGCCCTCCCCCTGCATATTTCACCAATAGATTAACCAACCTAACCTAACCCCCCAACCCTCAGGTAGTGTGAGGGTGTTTCGTCGTCAGGTGACATAAGCTAAAGGCTAATCTTCAGGTGAAATAAGCTAGAGGGGTTAATCCTCAGGTGATCAGGGAACTACAGAAGGGGTAACTAGCCCTTGTTGACTCCGTTACTACCTGGCGGAGCGGCTGGGTGATTGAGGAAGACGTACTGTATAATAATGTGACCTACAAACTGTGTCCCGTTGACTTAATTTCCCTTGAGACATTATGACCTGCGAACTCCGCCCTCAAGACCCGCTCCTTATTGTGTGAGAGAGAGAGAGAGAGAGAGAGAGAGAGAGGGATGAGATTGTGGAATACAGTAATTAAGAGTTTAATTACTAAGGTAGGGCAGGCTATTAGTAAACGATAATTATCATTGGTTGGTAGTGTTGACATGTCTCTTCCGCTGTGGTGGTTAGAGGCGACGGCGGCGGTGCTGAACTGAGACGCCTGTTAAGTTAGGATCAGTTTGTGCAGGGGCGGATCCAGGAATATTAAAAGGGGTCCAAGAAGTTGTGGGTGGAGGAACATGGCAAGCCCACCCAGCTGGGGGCATTTTTTTGGCTTTAAATCTACCAATATGACATTTTGAGGCCAATTTGAAACTATATTAGGAGATATTCTTAGGTCACTAGTAATTTCTTTTTACTATACAAAAACGCCTGAGTAGAATACTGCATTAAGGGAAAAGTATTGACATTTTCTGATGAATAGTGGGGGGGTCCGGACTCCCTGGATCCGCCCCTTTTGTGAGTTAGATGAATTTTACTGTGATTGAAGTTCAGTTAAACGTAATTTAATAAAGTTAGGGTGCGTCAGTTAAGGTTTGGTGTGTTTAAGTTAAGTTAAGCTTAGTTTTAACTCAAGGTTAGTTAAGCATTATTTCTGTTAATTGCGGTTCAAGTTTATGATAGTCTTTCAAGCTGCACAACACTCCTAAGGGCCAAGGTATCAAGTGATGGAACAGTAATTGTGTGTCAAGTGTCGCGTCATCACCTCGCTCACTACGACCAAGGAGAGTCACGTAGACACACCCGCAAGGCTACTTCACCTGGGGTCACGTTCACCCCAGAAGCCTCATCCAGTCATTATCTGAAGAGTGTTCATTGATGCTCTTGACCCTTGACCTTCCCTGTCGCCTGCCCCTCTTATTATTATTATTATTATTGTAGTAGTAGTAGAGTTATGATTTCTCCATGTATGGTTTTAAATGTTGGTCATGTTCACATTGTATTGATTAGCGTCTTCTCCTCAGAGCATCACCATCCCTGTCAACATCCGAGTGACAGATGACAATGACAACGCTCCAATTTTTATCAATAGTCCGTACTACGTCAATGTGTCAGAGGTAAGACTTCTAAGTTTGTATAAAGCAACTGACATGAGTAGTAGATGAGCTAACATGATTTCTTGTATGGTAGAGGGTAAAAAAGAATGTAGAAATTTACATTCAAGAGACATGAATCTACTACTGTACCTTCAAACCAACATAGTATAGTATTGTGTTAAAGCTTCAGCTCTCACCATCCATCTGGAGTGTCAGTCCCTGTTACAGTTAGGATGAAGAGGATAAAAGGATAATGTCAATAGGTTTTAATGTAACTGTTCCTCGTTAGGTGACGGTGGTGGGGACAGTGATTGTTGGGGACATCCTGGCCAAGGATGAGGATCAGCAAGGACCTTTCTCCACCGTCCAGTACTCCATTAAGCCTGGACCATACTCTGTAAGCCTCGTCATGTGTTCACAGTTTTGTAAAGTCTTTAGAGAAATATTCTGAAAACTTAGCATTATGCATCTCAACATCCTTAACATAACCAATACATGTACCCATTTCTTGCAGCAGTACAGTACGTATGTTGTCTTTGATATGTTGTAAGTGATTAAATCAACTTTGGGTACAGGTACTTGTCTTTTTGTTATTTCTATTGTGGGATCAAAAGTTTTTGTACAATTACTGTATATTTGCTTGAAGATAAATACTGTATGTTAGGCAGAACATCACGAATGGGCCCACAGCTTCAGTTTTTGTTTTCGGTCCAGAACCTGCAGTGTGGAGTCTCTCATACAGGCAGGCCAAGATATTATAGTACTGGTCACACACATGCACCCCTGTACACATATCCACACAATCAACTTTTGCTATTTTCAAAAAACATGATACTGTATTAATTTCCTCTCCTATCACCCCTGTCCTCCTCAAATAATATTGTTTCTCTTCATCAACCTTAAGTTTATGTTTGTGTGTAGGATGAATAACAGTACAACATATGGCTACACAGCAACATGTTTATTGGGTAACATTTTGACAATAAAGTAACATAGGAAAGTACAGTATCAAAAACTTAATATGACAAATAAAAATACATACAACTTTGAGTACATTAAGTGGTAAGCCCATCATATTGTGGCCCCCCCCAAAAAAAATGAAGTGTGAGGACGAGTGATGGGGTGCTCTTGTATCATGTTAATACAGTAAAAATTAAAGCTGTTCATTGTATGGATGTATGGTGCATATACACGGAAGTAAAAATTTATTTTACACAGAATTATAGCAAGGCTAAGAAACATGAAATAAGGACATTGCTGAGGAGCGGTGCATGAGAAATGATCAATGTACAGTACTGTGGTTGTGGAGATACATCATACTGTACACATGTAAGACCTCCCCTAAAGTTATCATTCTTTTTTTTCTTCTGCAGGACATGTTTACGTTTGAGTCCCCACTAAGTGGGTCATTAGTGTTGAGGAAGCCTCTGGACTTCGAGAGTCTTCCTATATTCAATGTTACCATCATTGCACAGGTAAATGTATTGAAGACACTACAAAATAAAAGGCTGGAGTTTATCTTATTGATCAGAAAATTTAGCTTTGTAAGTCTTGAAATTTTAAAAAGTGTGAGATGTAACATAATAATTTACTTTGTCACTCTTTGTAATTTACTTATTTGAAGTATTGTACTGGTACTGTACTTATGATACAGTTTAAATTGTTTCTGACTTTTAGCAGTGTTTCATTATAACTGGAGTAATATTATGTACCACATTTTCTTTAAACAACCGTCAAACAATTATCTATTCATACCCTGCAGTTTCTTTTAACTGAGAACTCAATATAATTATTTGTCTTGTATTGACTGGTGGATGTTTGGCTACAGGACCAAGCGGCTGTACCTCAGAGCAGCAGTACAATTCTTACAGTACAAGTGCAAGATGCTGATGACCAGAACCCTGCCTTTATTAGGGATCACTACATGGCTGTTCTCCCAGACAACTCAGTCAAGGTAAGTGTGGTTCACTTCCCAGTCAGGTGAAGACCAAGACCTACATCACTGGTCAGCACCCAAGTGAAATACAACATTATATTATAATATGCACAGTCGTCAACAAAAGTGCTGTCACCTCTTCTGCTGCTTCACGAACCCCAAGATTCAGACTCATGAACCCGAAGCAGTAGACACTGATGCATTATCCTGTTCATATATGCTTTGGATTCATGAGTCTGAATCTCGGTGTTTGTGGAACAGCAGAAGAGTTTACAGAACTTTTGTTCACGAATGTACAGTTTCATAAAGTTGCTTATCATATTTCTAATGTTTTGGGAACAGAATATTAACATTTGTATAGTATCTAAATAACTGTGTATGTATTTCATTAAACCAACTGATCATAGTGAACCATTTAGAGTGAATGTTGTGTTCTGGTGCAGGGAACCATAGTGGAGTTACAGCCAGAGACAGTGAAAGCTGTGGACAGGGATAAAGGCATCATGGCTTCTGTGTTTTACTCCTTCAGGAAAGGTTAGTACAATACTATACTGCACCAACACATTGCAGTAATATGTCTCACAGATTTTTCTACATGGCCACCTTGGTCTTAGCTTCATGTATTCCATATATATAAACTCATACCTTCTTGAATTTTTTTTTTACCGAAGAAGTAACAGTAAACTTGATCATTACTCCATTTATGACGTCACTTCCCCAAACAGAGGAGGAGGAGGCACTTTGGTTCACCATCGACCCTAAGAGTGGTGTGGTGAGCCTGGCTGAGGACCTCCCTGATGACCAGCTTAACCAGCCCACCACACTAGTTGTTAGGGTGAGTGTCTGGCTGTTATGAACTATATAAAACAATCATATTTGGTTTTGTTTTATTACTTTTGGTGTTTTCATTATATTTTCACTGATTATTTATGCATAAGGTGATCATTCCACTACTTGTATGTTCTATCTTAAATATTAACATAATCATTGTAATAACTGCCTGACTGGATGGTTCTGTATGTTAGTTTATATATTTTTTTTTGCCACCTCATATGAAAATATCTTCTACAGATGTTTGTTATTCTCTACATGAAATATGTTTATTTTAAGTCAGATTTGCAATGTAACTTAATTGTTAACTTCCTTCCTTCCTTTAACTGCTTTTCATGCTAGATATAATATATTCGTCGTATACAGACACTCCTGTATGAAAAGTGAATTCATGTATGTGTTATATAAAATGTCATTAATTTATTAGTTACCCTACCAAACATCACAGGTTTTCTTTGGGTACTTTGGTTTCCTCTTGTACTAACACTGGAAGGTGAAGGTTATACATATACAGTACTGTACTGTACATAAAGATCGACCTTCTGAATGGCTATTAAGGTAGAAATGCTGTATACCGGGTACTTTTTTCTTTTCTTTTTTCATTCGAATATGCTCTTTTAAAAGTTGTGATATCTCTCATTTTAACAGGCAACCCAAGTAGACAACCCAGATAGGTACGCCCTGACAACAGTCACGCTGTCCAGACGAGGCTACTATTCAACGCAGCTTCAGTTTATTCAGCGGGACTATGTGGCCACCGTGCTGGAAAACTTACCGAGGCACTCTCTCATTGCCCCTACGATGATCAATAAAAACATTGATAAGGTATACTGTGTAACAAATGTTTTCAAGTACTGTTCTGTTCTGTTCTTGTGTGTCATGTTGATCTTTGCTGTGGCTAACATCAGAAATATCAAGTAAATTTATTCAGTAAGACACAATCTGTTCCACATTTTATTGTTCCTTGTTGCCCGTCAGAATATTAAGTTCAGCCTGGAGAGGGACGGGGATGGAGTGTTCCGCATCTCACCTTCAGGACAAATCCTCCTTGACTATGACCTGGACTTTGAGACCAAGCAAGAGTACAACCTCAAGGTCTATGTAAATGATGGAGAATTTGTGAGTACTGTATTGTATTTGTTTATAAGATGAGCTAACATTGGTGGAGCTTCTTTCAGTTTTCATTTTAAGTTATTTATGCACTGAATATAATACTTATCAATTTACACCAGTTTGAAATTAAAATCCAAGCTACAAATGTATACAGGTACTGATGTGTCTGCCAAGCTTTATCTGTCTTACCAGTAATGATTTGAGGTATGAAATAGGCAAATCACAATCCTCTGTAATGTTTTAATTTTTGAGTTTAGTTGTTAATGAATAATCAGCAGAACTACGTTAGAAGTGACTAATGCCCAAAATCTTCTTTATTCCCAGAATGACACTGCCACACTGAAGGTACAGGTACTGAATATAAATGATTGGGATCCACGCTTTCGCTTCCCTCAGTATGAATTCTTTGTCACGTCGACCACCCTAAGGCCAGGAGATGCAGTAGGCAATGTAGAAGTGGCAGATGGAGACCGAGGAGACCAGATAACTCTCACAGTCTTGGGACAAGATGCGAAGTAGGATTTTTTTTTCTGTTCTTACTGGAAATTAGATTACTCAGTGAATGTTAGTGTCTGGATTAATTAGTAAATAGTTCAGAACAGAGTAATACCAGATGCTGGCCTTAGATTCCCTACAGACAATTATGCTGGAAGAGTTTTGGTGAAAGGAATTAGTCTTCGTCATAAGGACTTCAGTATCTGTGCGGCATTATTACTGTACAGTACACTGTACCTCCCTCGCCCCAGAACACTTGAAACATTTGTGTTGCTAAAGGAGTGTGGGTGTGCATGTGTGTGTATGTGTAGAAGTATCTCTACAAAACAGCACTTTGTAAGGCTTTACACTCCATACTGATGTTCAAAGTGGTGAAAAATTATCCATTTTGATCAGAAGAAATTAATATCCGTAGCAGTCAAATTTGAAGTGCTTATACTGCACGAATATAGCCGGAGACTGTTCCTAAACTCAGGGTACGTAGTGGGTAGATCATCAGAACCCCGACAGTACTTAGACTAATAGAAAATCCATAAGAGTGTTGAAGAAAAACACTTTACTCTGGCTAAGTGATCCATCAGTGGTTGTATAAGAAGAGGCAGCTTGAAGTTTCTCCAGCTTTTTTACTGATGTCTAGTATCTAAAAGGATTTGAATCGGTTACAAGGCAACTTTATCCTAAATTTTGAGAATAGGAGGAAGGCTTTAGCTTAAAAGTTGGACAGTATTTCTCTTTGGCTTATAAAGAAAGATGCAAGTTCAGTAAACAGACCAATGTCTTAAGGTGTGAGGATTAAAAGACAAAACACTAGTACAGTAGTTCACAGACAACCATCATACATATTACTCATCACTAGGGATGGTCTCTCTCTGTTAGAGGAGTGATTGGTACATGGTCTTCAATGACAAGAGAGAAAGAAAGTTGAGTAATTTTATTAGGAACTCTTTTTAAGACATGGTAAATAGCCTTAGCTTCCTCCAATTAGAAGATAGAACTTCACTGCCATTACCCATTAATATGAACTACTCATGACTATATATCTCCATTTGTTACAATGATGTAACTGTGTTTTAAAGGCTCGGCTATATCTATAATCTTCCTTGGTGATAATCTTATCAAGTTATTTTAGCTTCCAGCTGCAAGGTTATTATGTGTGTTGAATACCGTTAACTTCATGTTACCAGCGAGCTTTTCATTGTTATGTTTTCTATTTCAGGATGTTTGCTATCAGCAGTGATGGAGAGTTGAGGATTCGAGACTTAACATCACTAAATTCTACAGTAGCTCACATTGTGGTACTGGCCCGAGACTCTGGGATCCCACCAAGAACGGTAAACTTTATTCCTTTATGTAATGGTAAATGGTTTAATGGACGCACAATACTTATAAATATTGGATACATTTTGTGTTATAATAAGTTCTTCACATTATACCTTGGGCTAATTACTTTTATGGTCATTACTATCCAGCTAAAACATTTATTAGATAAGCCTGTTGTATAAGACAAAACCTCCCAGCACATTTAAGAATAATAGCAGTGCTCCCTTATGTACTGGATGAGCCAGTTTTATTGTGTAACCAAGTCTTTCTTCTCAACCTTAGACTGTATCTCACTGTTCTGTTCCAGGCATCGGCACCCATTAGTGTCACCTTCCCAGAGGGTTTGGTTCGGTCGTCACCACTTGGTGCCACCTCCAGCTTCTTGCTTATGGTCATTTTTGGAGCTCTACTTGGAATTTTTGTGCTGATCATCATCTGCCTTGCTATCTACATACACAAAAAGTAAGGCTCACATGCAAATACTTTGTGTACATAATATACTGTAATTTTCTTTTACCTGCTGCTTTTGCAGAGGAGATTCTAGAAAAGAATGGTATTTGTGTTTATCTTACTCTGATGAAGAGCACTGGATTTTAGTCAAACTAAGTACACAGATACTTTATATCACAATAAGATCTTGCATAAGTTTGATAATTGTAACTTTCAGGGATTTTTGTCCCTTGACCTGTGATGTAGGGCAACTTGGAAGTTTTTACATTGGTCATAAAAACAAAGGTCATTTTACGCACTTTCATGAGTTCACCACAATTACCCGATGGCTTGACAGTTTCCTAACTCTAATGTCATTTCTTACAACCTCTCCCCATGTCATTCTTAACCTACCCCTGGCTCTCCTCCCATCCAGATTTAGATTCATGCACTTCTTGACCCATTTGAGTCTCAACCATTCTCTCTACACACCCAAACCATCTATTCTTGCCTCTACACAGAACTTTGCTAATACAGTACTATATTCTCAGTACCCAGTTACCCTCTTGGCTCTGAACAACTCATGTCTTTCAATGTCATATTGCACATCCAAGACAGACCCCTGATGAATCTCTACTTTCACCTCAGATTCTTCACTTTCCTCACCATTTACTTTTATCCTCTTCACCACTGATCGGCCTGTTAGCCACTTGGGCGATTGGTCACGTCTCTGATTACTTTTCCTCTTCTTTTATCCTCTTCACCAAAAGATCGGCTCGCTAAGCCGCCTGGGCGATCGGTCACGTCTCTGTCACGTCTCTGTCACGCACTGTTGGCAAGTACTGGGCATGCACCGGCTCCTGAATGTACATGAACCCGCTCCAGAGATTTTTAAGCACCTCATATAGTACCTTAGCCACTCGAACAAGACACTCCTTAACCGAGTTTGCTTATTGTCCACTTTACACTTTATGTGGTACCCTGTCAAATGCTTTCTCCAAGTCCACAAATATTAAGTAAAATATTTTCTCCTTTCCTAGATATTTCTCTTGTAGTTGCTTGGCCATACATATTGCCTCTGTAGTCCCCCCACCTAGCATAAATCCAAACTGCATTTTGTTTATGCCCACTCTCTACTTTATCAATATCTCATTCACTCTTTCTATAATTATCATAACCATATCTAGCTGTTTCAAGCCTCTGTAGTTCCTGCATTCAAGTACATAACCTTTACCCTTAGAAGTATTCATGATTGCATTCATCCTCCAGTCGTCTGAAACTGTACATTCCATCATGATTGCATTAGTCAATTTGGTCACCATTGATACCTGCATCATCTGAGGCTTCTAACATTTCTGCAACTGTCCCAAAGCTTCCAGCCCTCTTCCCATTATTCATTTTATCAATTGCTTTCTTCATCCATTCTCTTTCAGTCCTTGGTCATGGTTCCTGTGCTGGTTCTACTGCCCCTTGGCTGCCCGTCCTATTTGTGCTCATCATACAGTAATTGATCATCGTATTTTTTCCAGGCATCCTTAATGTCGTCGTCATCAACATCTACATTACCACAGTCGTTTATCACACATTGCTCACCAACAACATCCTTGTTCCTACCCACTATTTTCCTTGCTATTCTGAAAACCTCTCCTCTTACATCTGCACTGTTGTATTTACCGGTAACTCCTCTGCAAATACAAAGGAGACATACACTGTACAGTATTATATAACTGATAACTATGACTGAGGTTTGGTGATGTGTTAGCACGTGATTGTGATGTACAGATTAAATACTGTAACTGTATATAAATTCCACGTGAAAAAAAAAAAGATTGTAGCTTTTGGTCAGTGAATATTTGTATTTTCTGTATTACTCTTTGTTATTATCAGTTTTATTATTCAGACAAGACACAAATATCAGACCTTGTAAAGCAGTAAGTTTTTGTTGACACTTGACAATGGCTTTAGAACAAGACATTATTCAGAGACACCCAGCAAACACCTATTTGTGTTGAATATTGGTTCACGCTGAATTGTGTCCAAGATGCACACGATCAAGATAACTGATAACAAAGACGTACTCCTGTTACAGCAAAAAATACCCTGATGATCCCTCTGCTGCCCTACCTACCAAAATGAGGAATGTAGGCTCCATGTAAGTGCAGTTTTGCACCTTCTGCATCTGTAAAGCACCACCTGGGGCCCTGTTCCTCATTTTTGCCATTTGCACATTGACATAGACTACCATGACCTATAATAGAACATAAGGGGGAAGTACTGTAGTACGTTACACTTCTTTATTGCAAGCTCTTCATATAGACCAATGTGTTTTTTAACATCAATAGGACATAGTATAGTTAAGTGTTTTATGGAGATAGGCATGATGTTGTTGTGTGGTGCTGGATAGTATACAGAGGCCTCACTGTGGAAGGGGAACTTTGCAGTAAATCACATCTGTTACAGCTATCAGAATGAAAGAATGAATGTTAGTGAATGCCAGAGAATCTATACCTGTATTGTGAAGTGGAAAAAAGTTAATAAGAATAAGAAACAGTTTAGTTTACTTCCTTACACAGACCCCTGACTGATACATTCACTCAACAGAACCAAAGGAAATAGCAGTACATGTGATGTACTTTGTCTACCCCACCTCATAACTGATGACTGTAAGACTGAGGGAGAAACAATACATATGTTGTACTTTATTTCTTCCTCCTTGTAGTTCAGATCAATTTATTCATATTTCTAAAGTAAATTTTTTAATGTACTTTACCTTCCAATATAACCAGGCTTACTTCCATAGATTTAATCAAGGAGATTTGGTTCCATGAATAGATATCAAACTACACTATTTTAGATTTTTTTTCCTTTACAACAATTTGGTTCAGTGTCTTATTAATAATTTATTTTTATGTTTGTCAATACAGTTTGTCTTATTTAAAGTTGTTTTTATTATGCTAAAAGAACACACACACAGACTGCTATAGTTCATAACATGTGGGTCTGTCAAACATGCTGATGTAGCTTCTTGTTATTTTCAATCATTGCTCATATACTTACAGTCCTTCATTTAATACTGATTAATTTATGAAGATCGTGACATTAAGTTTTCAATAAAACAATGCTATTTTTTCTCATCAGAAGTTTGGAGTTTCTTATTGTACTCAATAAAACCAGAATAAACATTCATGGTATGTCTGTTAGCATTATTAGGAGTCACAGTTTTCAATAGTATTGTTTTACGACTAAGTCTTTCCTGTTGTCATGACAGTAAGAAGTGTCGGGATGATAATGATGCTGCGCTGCCCACCAAGATGAGTCAGATTGTAACCAACAACATCCCCCACACCAAGCTGGACCCTCTCTCTCCACTCAATCATCAGGTAAACTTGATGTCACTCTTTTCTTGAGTTATCTTTGCTTTTGTGCAGATGTATGCAATCATATAGTTTTTTACTGCACATATAGCTCTTCCCAAACATTTTATATATACATAATATATTTAGTGAAGATAGTTGATTATTAGCTGATCTAAGTAAAATGGCTTTTTATGAAGGATTTATTTATTCACTGCCATTTTGTCTGATGCTAGAAAAAGTTTCTTGAGGATTTCCTCTAAATGATAAGTAAATTATTAGGATCATAAGAGTTTGGTGTGTGTGATGCAGGAACTGCTCAGTCACTAAACCAAAGATTCATTCAGAGAATTTTTAGGATATTTGTAGTTAACACGCCAATAAATGCTAGGTGTTGCTGTCTGCACATGAGTGATATAAGATTATTGTACATCTTTATGGTTACCACAGCGTCCCCTCAAAAGACAGTCATTTAATTTAGTCCTAATTTCTTTGTAATTCATGTAAGCTCTGCCATCATATGTAAAACATATCCAGTGCTGCAGGTTATGCTATGGTTGGTACAGTCACCCACAAAAGTTCAGTCACCTCTCCTGTTGTTCCATAAACCCCGAGATTCAGAATCATGAATCCAAAGCATTATGGACAGAATAATGGATCAGGTTCACGAGTCTGAATCTCAGGGTTCGTGGAACAACAGGAGTGGCGACAGGACTTTTGCAGGTGACTGTATGTGATTCATGGCTTCATTATCTATCTCAGTGTTGTAGACATGACCTAACATAAACAAACTTTCTCAGATGCAGGGTAATGGACGACAGATGGCCCCATTGGGCAGCCCCATCTCACCCAATGGCCTTGTGGGGATTGAGATGCCATCCTCTGAGAACAACAATACCCACACTACAAATAACAATTATAACAATGGCAGTGTCCAAGCCAGCACCAGTGAGTACCCCTTCCTTCACATAAATACTCCCCTTCCTTCACATAAATGTAACATCACGTCATAGTGCGCTTGTTATTTCTTTCCCTCCATCGCTTCGTCATTTAATACATAACTCGCTGTTGTACCCGCTGACACATCCATTGCCAGATACCAGAAATGTCTTCCTTCCTCCTCCAGTCTATTTAAACTAATAGTCAATATGGCACTATCTCCCCTTACTACTCATTTTCATTATTTTACTGTTATTCACATTCACAGTCAGTTTTTTGTCACCATACTGTACACTCTTCTAAAATTATTCACTAACAGACTGATCAATACCATATATTTGTAACTTTTCTGAAGAGTCACCCACTTGAGATGTATCATACAGAAACAGGAGCTGACTCACCTCTTATTTTCATCCTATATTTTTATTTGTTAAACTTGTACACCTTCCCATGTTTCTTGTTTCACTGTTCTTCAAATCCCATTCATGAAAGTATTGACCAAGTACAGTGATGCAGTATTACAAACCACCCTTGCTTTAGTCCAGCTTTTACTCTGAACCATTTATCTGGGGTGTAACCATAGTAAGGCAAGTCTTGAATGTTTGGCACTTTTGATTGTTCACTCATTTTGGTTGCTTAGTTTGGTTAAAGTTTGAAAGTACAGCATTTATAGTTTATATTAAGATACGTAGTAATAAAAGGTGAATGCTGTTGAGATGTTTTGCATATTGTTTTAACACAAAATAATTACAGTATTTTTCCCAGTTTCAGTTCGCTCAGGTGCTCTTGGAGGTTCTGCACAGGGCAGTCGACGATACCTCAAAAATCCCCTAGCAAATGGATCATTCCCTGTTACCTCCACCACCAACCCTCCAACTCCTCCAGCACCACCACCACCTAGTGGGAACTTAGGAGTTCATGGTGATGGACTTTCCCTTAATGGCACTGTTAGATCCTCCACTACAGCATCAACAGTGTCTTTGAGTGGCACTCCTGAGCCCCCTGGACATAATATCAGGTGAGCCAGTGGTATAAGTTGAGGGATTTATTATATACTGACAGGGAGAAGATAAAGGAGGAGGAGGAGCAGGTAATGGGGGATTGGGGGTTAAGAGGTCTGGAGTTAAAGGTAGCACAAGAGCCCAAGATTTCTCTCCTGGGCTGTGAGTACAACCACTTATTAAGTATTGTTTTCTGCATCATGGTCGGGGGTCTCCAGTTCTTTGTGTCTTGTAGGGTGTTTGGTTGAAGGTTAGGTTAGGTTAATGTTTGATTAAGGTTTAGGTTAGGTTAGTGTTTGTTTAAAGTCTCGGTTAGGTTAGTGTTTGTTTAAAGTTGAAAGTGTCATTAAATAAAAAGAGTACTGGATTATAGAGCTGGAAACACATGGTCCAAGGAGTGAGAAAACACTTGACAGTGGTGGGGCTGAACAGTGAGTCACATCACCCTTTGATGTGAAGAGAAAAATTATGGTATTAAAAATTAACAATGCATATAGAACCCATACGTGAGGGAAGTTAAGGTGTACGTACTGTAGTTGTGTAAGCTTACCTAATGATTGGACTGTTGCCTTGAGTTTATTTACCAGATGTAACACTCATACAGTCAGTTTCTAGACCTCTTGAACTACCTTGTGTACACATTTTATTGCATCTATACTTGTAACTACAAGATTACTGTATGTCATTTTATGGATATTAATATGAAAAAAATATATATACAGTATATATTTCTGCAGATCCCTGGTAGGAAATGGCCTACCTAGAAGTGCACTGAGTCATGGTGCAAGAGCTGGGAGTGGGCGCAGTATTGGTGCCACATCCAGGGGGTAAGTTAAATGTTTACGTATATTTATGTGCTATAGAGTGTGTGTGTACCAGAAATATTAGATATTCAGTAAACAAATTCCAAGCCAGAGAAGTCATGGACATTTATGGTCATTGACAGTCCGTAGAAATTTGCAAGGTTCAGTGACTAACACACTGAACCAGCAGAACCTCATTAATTTAGATGATCTTGGGGACATGGGTCTCAAAAAAGTAAATATTGTGAAAAATCAAAGTGTCCTTTAGCTACAAAATATATATACCTAGTAGACTTCACTTTTTTGGGATAATTTGGTCTGCAATCTGGTATGTAAATGTGAATTTCTGGTTATAAATTGAATTACTGTTTATAATAGTACACCCTTGGCAACAGGTAAGTTATTTTAACATTGCTTTTTACTTTTATCCTCTTCACCACTGATCGGCTCGTTAGCCGCTTGGGCGATTGGTCACATTTCTGTTACACACTCTTGGCAAGTACTGGGCATGCATCTGCTCCTGAATGTACTGAACCTGCTCCAGTGTTGGTCACGTCTGGTCTTGAAAGAGCTCACACTCGGTGCCGTCACAACACTTTCTGGTAGATTGTTCCAAGAGTTCACAACTCTCACTCCGAAAAAGTTTGCCCTCACAGTTTTCTAGACCTGCGGCTTCTTCAATCTTGAGCTGTGACCCCTTGTGGGGCGAGCGTCCGCCAGCTCCAAGTAAGGACACTCGACTGAGTAGTGCCCCTTGAGATGCTAATACACCTCAATTAGGTCACCCCTTGCCCGTCTGTAGTATAAGCTCGGCAAGTTCAGGCGCTCCAATCTCTCAAGGGAGTTGACGTGCCAAAGTGCAGGCATCAGTCTGGTGTGCATTACCAACAGTTGTGACTACCAGTGTTGTGGTACTATTACCTTAAAAATGATTATCATTCAGGGAAATTATTGAATTTATCATGAAAACTTATATTGATGATGATGATTATGGTAATGCAGTAATACCATGTTTAGTTAAATAATCTCTTGTATGTACTTCACCCAGTCTCTTGCTGGTACATAGAGGTCATTTTGTCATCAACATTCAGGTGTAAAATCCACTTTTGAATCACTTTCGTATATCAGTATAGTTTGACCTAGCCTGGGTTACCGAAACACAAGGGTTCTGTAAGCATCTTGCAGGGGTTCCACAGAATTAATTATTAATAATAATAAAACAAATAAAAGCTCATCAGTTTATAGTTCATAAATGAATTTTAACTCGTGTTTGGCTTTAACCAAAAAATAGTACTTGATTATTTTTTTCACATAGATATAATTTAGTTTTCATTTTGCCAGAGATTGGGAAAGACTGCTGTAGATGATTGTGGTTCCTGATAATATTACATGTTGCTAACAGGGTTCCTTGGCCAAGAAAAGATTGGCAACCATTGGTATAGATAATGAAACCCCATTTTGCAATTTTATTCATCATTTCACCACTTATCTGCTTACTAGCCTTTCGGACAGTTGATCTGTTCTTTGTTACTTTTTACCATATTCAAGATCGTGAAGTGTAGGAGATCCCTATAGGCTGGTATTCAAGATACCTAGTGAAAGCACACGTTGTGGTCAGTGCCTATGGATATTCATTGGATAACTGGAATGTTCATGAGAAGGGGAAAGGTGTCCTAAGAGCAAGCCCCATGAAAAAATCCATTCAAATTTTATAAATGTACTAGCATATGCCTAAAATGGTTTGGTTTGATTACTTTATTGTTAATGGTATTTATATAAAGTGTGACTTTCTGTATTTTTTTTCCGTTCAATGATTAATCAATATGATCAGATTGCATGAACAAAAAATCCTATGATTTGATCTCTGAAAACCATTTTCTTCATTCAACAAAAATGTACACAGTATTTCAGGTTTAATTTTATGATAATTAATAAATCTTTTATCTGTCAGGTCATCACCAGGAGGGTCAGCAAGGGCTGTGGGTGGCCTCCCAGTCAAGAATAGAGTGAGTCCTGCCCCAACACCACCTGCACCAGCCAACACACCATATCCTGACACGTCATCCTCCCCAGGATCGCCTCATTCTGGCTCTTCTGGTCCCCTATCCACTAGGGTTGCCTGGCCACATGGGTCAATTCCTAAGAGAGTAAAAAAATTATCTTGGGAAGATGAACTCAGTAATAAAGTAAGGATTATTTTTCTTTGAGGGCTACAGCCGCTGCACATAATAGTTGAACATTTTCAGAAGAGTGGATTATGCTGATAATCCAACTTTCCCTTATTTCAGTCTTGATAGGTGATTGAGGCCTAGTAATGTTGTTCTTGACTAGTATTGTAGTTCAAATAAAATTACAATACTGTTCATATTAGATATAAATTCTAGAATTATGTTTTCAAAATTGTCAGTTATGTATTACCAATTCTTTGAAATTCTTGTTTTGTGATGGCATTTAGCTCATTAGCAAGGTGTGATTTACATATTTTTTTATTTTAATTTTTAAACCAGTTTGATCTCAAGTAATTGTATAATATTTCTTCCAGACGGAGTTGGACCCAGAAGTGAGCGTAACACCTATGCCTCAGTCATTGGCTACAGATACACCTAATCTCACTGTGTATTTCTGAGCATGATGGATGATGTGTTTGTCATCCTTCATCAGAATCCAGTATGATGCTTTCCCTCTGTCCCGTCCTGTAGGATTCTTTCCCCTAAGTCCACTGTTGCCTATTGTTACTTCTTAAGTTTTATTACCACTCACATCACATCACATCACATCACATGTATGCCAACAAACCATGAACTAAAAATCTTGGGGCATAACAAATTCATGGAATAAATCTAAATACAAAACTGGTCTGGTACTATGGACATCAGTACATAGTGAGAAATTCGAAGAAAGATTTATCATTATAATCTTAAGCTTCAACATATGATGAGAAGTAACAGAAAAGTGTTAAATGAAATGATCAGATCATAAAATTTTACTTGCAATTATTAACTGCTGCTGCTGTGGGTGTTTGGTAGAGGTTATTATGATCAGGGACAGGATAGGGGAAATATCTTCAACCCACCACAGGCTCTAACCCCTGAAGTACCTGGAGGAGATAAAACATTTTATCCAACTTCTGTGATCACCGGTTAAGAATCTTTAATATAAGTGTTAATATTGTGCATCATAGATGTATATTGGAAGTTACTACAGTACAGCACCTCCAAGTTACAGTGCATCTTCACTGGTATCAGATATCAGCCTTCTAATATACTAGAATATTAAGGTGTAATGATTCCTACAGGTTTTATATTTAAGAATGGATCTCAGAAATATGTGAACACAACAATTGGTTGTGGATGTAATAGTTCCTGGTGCATTTCAAGTCTTTCTGAAAATCAGAAAGTACTTCAGTTGTTATACCAGTGTATTAACTAATTAGTTAACTTTGGCTTTTTAAAATCTTTTGTATCATTTACTGTAAATGACTTTGTATTATTGATGGGAATTAATTATCTTGTGTCATGAAGATCTTTGGTTGATGAATAATGTTGTATTGTAACACATGTAGTGGTTCAGGTGACAACTAATGGTTGTTCACATTTATGATTCTCATGAATGTTTTGTAATGTCTTCAAGTGAGGTGGAATAATCCAATATTGTGTTGCTAAGAACATGTTATTGTACACATAAGACATGAAACCTTTAAAATTAATGTTTATAACTGTATTAGAGTTGTTAAATATTTTGTGAAATTACTTGTTTAATTCACTGAAATTTTTATGTATATTATTTTTTTTTTTATAATTCATAAACCATTATTTTGATATTTTCTCCACTTGCTGGAGTTTTTTGAGTAACTTCAGTATTTTAATTAGTCAGCTTCAGTACAGTACAGTCTCTGTATGTTGTATATGAAGGTACAGACCCATCATCTAATGCATCTCTTACATGACTTCTCATTTCCTCACAGGCTACATTTAAGGTCCCAATTATCAAACAACAATTTATTCACACTAATCATGGGTGATTGTTCGTGGTAAAGTCAAGTGAGGTATCTGTCAACCTAGAAGTTTGGGACTAAGAGGCTTCCATAAAGTGGACACTATCATGATCTTGTGTCCAAGGAAAGCATGAAATCTTTAATTTAACTGTAGCTGTTCAAGTCTGTTCTTTGTTACTTTGTTATGAATTTTATTGTTCAGTGTTAGTACAGGAGGAAATTAGACTACCCAGAGGAAACTTATGATATTTGGTAGTGAGGGTCAACCTGGATAACACCCTTCCACATGTGCCTGGGCCAGAACTTGAACCCATGACACAATAGTGAGAGATAGGCATGTACCACTGCACTACCAACACCATAGCTAGTTAGGTAATTTTATTAGTTTCTGTAAATACTGTACCTGTACAGTACACCAACTTCTTTCATTATTCTCTAACACTCAGTGATACAAAGACTATAAAGAAGTTTTCATTGTCTCATCATTCTCCTCCAGTCACCATATAACTTTTTCTCAAACTAATATGAAAACAACTAGAGTTGTCACTCACTCAACCACACACACACAGTCACTGAGCAAGGTGCCTGGTTGTCCAGTTTCTTCTCATTTTCTCTCTTGTAATATTTGGAATATCAAGAAAAAATTATTCTGTATTCTAAGTAGATTTTTGGTTGACAGATAATTTACTATAATGGATGGTATATTTTGGTTGATATTTTATATCCTGTATCGGTGAGAGATTTTCCATTGTCTGATTGTCAACAATGTTGTGTTCTTAAAAAGGTTATCGAGGAAAATAGTGTCATAATCCCTGAATCAGACTGTGAAATGTTTTAATTTCAAGGATGATTAGAAGAAAATGGTTATGTGCCATGGTGTAACATGTCACCATTCAAAATCCCTAACAAAAGTATAAACATCTCAGAGGGCACTACTCAGTCCATACCTGGAGCTGGCGGAGTGAGAATACCGTAATGGACTCTTGGAACAATCTGCCAGAGAGTGTTGTGACTGCACCAAGTGTGAGCTCATTCAAGACCAGACTTGACCAACAGTGGAATAGGTTCCGATACATTTAGGAGCCTGTACATGCCCAGAACTTGCCAATACTATGTAACAGAGACATGACCGACCGCCCAAGTGGCTAACGAGCTGATCAGTGATGAAGAGGATAAAAGTAAAGTAAAAAGTAAAAGATTCCAGATGCCGTGATCAAGGAAGATATTGTATTTACTTCACTTGAATAACCATATCAATTTAAGTAGCTGATCACAAGCTATAAACACTTCCATTGTTGAAGGGACTTTAGTTGCTTCTTATTGGATAGTATCAGCTCTGATCATGGTGCTGGAGAGGAGTTGTAGATGATGTAGCCAAAAACTTGTTTGGGATTACACAACATCAACACATCAAGTCAATTGTTCACTCCCAGGTAAACTACTACCTTAAAAGTGTCAATCCTTTATGTTATTTCTAACTTTTGAGGCATGGAGTTAAATAAGTTGCTGCACTAAGTAAACCAGAGTCAGTTATATTTTTCACTAGCACTCAATATTCTGTGTTCTTTCATGTACTACAATACAGGCTTACTTTTTTGCCTTTCTTTATTGATGTACTGTACTGTCTGTCTGTTGGTACATTATCATAAATTACCAAACAAAAAGTGTGCCACTTACTGAGAATGTACTGTACTGTATTAGGAGTGAAGAGAACATATTTGCAGACTCACTTTGTAAGATTCCACATATATATCTCATTATTATTTTTTTTTGTGTTAGAGTGGTTGTCTGAGCAACATTCAGGACTGTATATACAGTACAGATAAGCATTTTGATGTGATAATATTATAACTTGAGACCATTAATCAAGGTTCTCTGTAAATATTAATATATATGTATATTTTTATAGGACAATAAGGCTAACATCCCTTTGTTGCTCTGCTATAAGCTATGTTCCAACCAAATTTAGATTTGATTCTTTCCAGGTTCTTGTGTCAGTATTTTGTTATATCAAATATTCCCACACCTGCCACCAGTCACTATGTGTCTGGTTGTCTGTTGTAAAATGTTCATTTTATTAGAATTTAAATCACGTTGGACATTATTTTATAAGAACTTTCTTCAACTGTTACCCTATTTTTTGGTATCCAGATTTAGGTATCTATTGACGGAGGAGTTAATTTTACTTTATTGTATAATACTGTACCCCAAAATTGAACCTGGACTGAAAATGGAATACATACCAAGGGGCTACCTATCTGCTGCTCTTTGATCCTTAACAATGGTAGTTTTCAGAGATGAATTGTCAATAGTTCCTCATCCATTACACTAGATTCCAGATGGGTCAGCCAACCTCTTAGTCATTTTTCCCTACGTAGACCTCCTGTGTGCTTAAGTCTTACAGGGTTGGCGTGAACAGTGTGGTGGGATGTAGTGTCAATGGGTACACGATAGGAGTGCTGCTTAAAGAAGAGTCTTGGACCTTTTGAGGAGGTAGGAACTATGCTTTCTTTCTTTTTCTTTTTTCTTGCAAAGTTTAATAATGGCCGATTCTGTTGTATACATAATGGAGGTGAGGTCCTTTGTAAATTTTGTCTGTTTATACATACAGCACAGTGTATCACTGTTAAGTAACTTTGCACCTTACAAATTACTACTATTAAATTTGATGATGACGATATACATCAAGATATTTGTCGCCAAAAAACACTATTTAACTGAAATATATTAGAAGATCTGAATGTAGGTTTAAACAATATGTATTTTGATACAACATTCCCTCAAGTCTTTTTCAAAATTTTATGTGATACTTTTGTAACATTTTGCCTAGAGCTGAGGACCAGTTGTTATCATAATATTTACCTCTTCTGACTGGACAGTTTATAAAGCCAAAACTTTTAGTTAAAAAGAATTAAGTTTGAAATAAATATACATAATCATACAAGCTGCACATGTAATACATATCATTTGAATATTATAGCATGATACACATATCATATTTCAGTATACTTTTAATCATGTATCATAGAAAAAGTATACTTATTCTCATGTTTTATAACTGTAGTGTGTAAGAAAATTCCATACAGAATGCTCATATATCTGCACATTCACCAAATATTGGACAAACTTATTTTCCAAGCATTGCTTTCATCCAGAGAATGTTTCACATAACAGGTGCTTCCTTAATGAGACCAAAACAATAGTAGCATAACACTGTAGGAGTAAGGTAGAGTTTTGTATATATGATGAGTAGACTGCATATACTTGGCTTAGTGCGATCTATTTTTGTACATAATGTATTTGTTTGATATGTGTCAGTGATGAAGTATTCTTCCATTGTATTTATTAACAGTACTACCACTGAAACCAACATGAATTGTACTGATATATTAGCAATAAAATACTGTATACCATTATAAAATAACTTTTCCTTTAGTATTCTCAAAGATAATTACACGGGCTGCAAAGAAATGTCAGATTTCTTTTTAAGTTTTCAAAATTGAAAAAGAAATGTTTTGAGGGTTATGAATGTTTTACTAAAATTTCATGTCCCTGAAATTAATGTTTTCCAGGAACAATTCCCAGAAAATTTTATTTTGAGAAAATGATTTTTTTGGGGGGGGGGGTTAAAAAATTCTTATCCTTAAAATGGTTATTTTCCGAGAGTATTTCCTGAAGAACGGTATGTTCAGTGATGTGAATTTTATAGTCCAAAATTCATAACCCTTAACCATTAAACCCCGGGTGACATTCCTAAACATTCACCTTGGCGACCCTGGGTGACATTCCTGAGCGTTCTTAACTTTCACAGCATATTTTGAATGTCCAGGCAGGAGCAAATACTTTGTATGGGATATTTGTCTAACTGGCAACTCAACTCCCGTGTGATCTTTGCCTCAAGACTAGTGCCTCGTGATCATTTATCCGCCAGCTGTAGTGAGGGATGCACGTCCTTAGACCTCTCTTATGACCCACCTCACTCCTCTGTTTGCTTGACAGGAGTGCTGTTCATTAAGAGTTGCTTGATTTGAGTGGCATTGATGTAGTATCAGGTAACAAAGACAATGATGGGGTGGAACAGAATCGAAATGATGTTCAGTTTGTTGAAGCCGTGAGGACAGTGTTAGACCTACCGACAATGGCGCTCCCAACCCCCATCCCACCAGCCACCGTGAACCACAGCACAAAGATGTGGCAACTTGGTACAAGGAATGTGGATTTGCCTTGTGAATTTTGTGTTTCAAAGACTTTCCACACGCTCAAGAAGTTCTAAATTCAGAAGAAGTATGTGTAAATAGTGTACTGTATATATTTGAAAATAGTGGTATGTTTTGTACTTCCTAAATATTCCTTTTCAGTATTTAATAGTTTTTTGAGAAAAATATAAATATTTTGTTTTGTAGTACTGTAGCTATAAGATAGAACTATGGTACAAAAGTGGCTTCAAGTAAGAATTCTGTATTACAAGTGCATGTCAACAACCCTGAACCCTGCCCCCTCACTGTGGACTGTGTGCAGCAGCTTCAAACAAGACAACTGTCATCACTCCACACTGCTCATCAGACAACTCTCCAACATTGCTATAATGACACTTGAATGTAAGTACAGTCCATTCTTGCGACCCATTTTTAAAGTTTTGAGCTTGAAATTGGAAATTGTAACCTAACCCTGGGGTAATCCGCATAAGAAAAATCCGTGTAAGTTGCTACTCTACTGTAAATCAGTGAATACAAGTATACGTATATGTGTAGAGGTTTTCAATTTTTCAATATGACCACCAGATATATTACAGATGACTAGGCTATACAACAGTTTCAAGCAACAAATAGGTACTGTACTCGTCTCTCCATATCCGGTTTCCTGGTCGAAAGTTAGACTTTGGGGAATTCAAAATTTAAAACTGCCAACAGCTCTCAAGTATTGTCCTTCCTCCTGTTGCACCCTATTATTTGCTGCATGCACAATAAAATCCATTTTTTTATCTGTTTTTCATCTTTTAGAAATCAATAAAATATCAATCTTTTATCATATAATCTGTAATTTGATATGCATCCAGATACTGCGCATTTATCAGGCATTGTTACAGACCATCACACCACACGATGGCTGGCTGGTAACTGAGTCCCTCCCTCCCTCCCCCCTTGGCTACAAGCAGACCAGATGACGTCATGCACGGCAAAGGACGAATTTTCTACTCGAAGTAAGTAGATTTGAGTTAATAAGACTTTGTATGTGGTAGCCACAGAGGATGACCTGGACAATTTGCAAAAACAGAGAAATGCCCTAAAACTTCAAGCTGATCAGCATGCAGCTGTACTGATCAGTCAATCTTACTTGTTAGCTAACCGTGGTAAGCCGTCAGATAAAATCACGAGTACTGTACAATACTATGAATCAGATAGTCAGTGACATTAAAGTTTCCACATTTAACTTGCATGATGGTGACAACTCTGGTCGATTCCTTGTCGAACCAAGTAGAGTATTATAGTAATTACTTCATGGTTCTAATAACTAATTTAAATTTGCTGAATGAAGGAAATGTCACTCCCAATTTACTGCCTTTTAGTTAATTAGTCAAGATCGTGGAAATAGCTCCTAGTTTTCAGAACTTGGGCCCTACGGTTCCCACGGACGGCTTAGAGAATTATTACAGTTTGGTCTTTGTTTCTGTCAAACACATCTGAGACAAATATTAACCATTGCACTTATGCACAATTAATTGTAAAGAGATCTTGGGTACTGTTTTCTTGTTTTTCCTGCAGGAAGTTCCCGTGAGTGTAGCCTGTCCTACTGAGCCACCAGCCTCACTGTGGGTCAGGGATGGTATGTTCTACCTCAAGAAAAATCTTTGTCCTCAAGCCTTAGGACAATGCGAGGAGCAACACTTCATAACACATCAATTGAGGCGCCTCGCATCGTGTGGGTTATTTGCACCAAAATTTGAAACCGAGAAAACTGCATTTATTTTTTTCCAACTTCAAACATACATAACTTTGTTGTTTTTGAGATACAGCATTCATTTTTGATGCATTTTGAAGCTAAAGGACTGTACTTGCAGATGGTAGGTAACTTGTCATAAAGTAATGTTCTGGGTTGTTGTTATGTTGACTTGAAGCAACAAAACTCCTACCCGCTTATGGCTTTTTTTACTTTAATCGATATCAGAGTGTAGATCCTGCCCGCTCGAGGGGCCGTGACGTAAATAGACGCTCACTGTGATTGGCTGAGATGGGGGAGGAGGCTGTAGGCTGGCCGCTGTGGTTGGCTACCTGGTCCTCTCACTCCCTCACTGTAAACTAAATTTCAGAATGACCAATAATTTTAATTTAAAAAATGCAAAAACATTCATGAACACAACTTTCTTGACATTTACTCCACTGGAAACGAATGTAAACATAGAACCGATTACTGTATTGGCAGACTAACTGATCAGCTGATGAGCACACTAAAACGTGTTTCTCGTAAGGTTGTCGTTAAAAGAAGTTGTACTCGCTAATAGAACTGAAAATCCTTATGGGAGCTAATTCGTTAACCGAAATCTCGTAAATTGAACTGCTCATTAATAGAGGGAACACTGTATTCTGATTTACTGATTACAGTACAGTATTATAATTTCCATCTTTGCATGCCATGCCATGTTTTGCACTGATCAACTTAACGAGCCCAGTGTTCTCATCAATTACTGTATTTGAAACATTGTGAACAGTCAAGGACTAAATTGAACATGCCTCGTACAGATAATGGTGATGATGGTACTATTGGTGCAGATGATGGTACAAAATAAATACCCATTTTACATTCCTGGGATGTCTGTGTTGATTGTCATTATTGGGGGTAATTGTTATTAATATTTGTGTACAGTAATTCTGCATGAAGAAAGAATTAATGCCTGAGCCAATGTTTTTTAGCATTGTTAAAGACTGTGTGGTGCTGCCAGAGTGTTTTTAGCATTGTTAAAGACTGTGTGGTGCTGCCAGAGTGTTTTTAGCATTGTTAGAGGCTGTGTGGTGCTGCCAGAGTGTTTTTTAGCATTGTTAAAGATTGTGTGGTGCTGCCAGAGTGTTTTTTAGCATTGTTAAAGATTGTGTGGTGCTGCCAGAGTGTTTTTTAGCATTGTTAAAGACTGTGTGGTGCTGCCAGAGTGTTTTTAAGAATTTTTAAAGGATGTTTTGTGCCGGCAGAGTGTTTTTTAGCATTGATAGAGGCTGTGTAGTGCTCCCAGAGTGTTTTTAGCATTGTTAAAGACTGTGGTGCTGCAAGTGTTTTAGCATTGTTAGAGGCTGTGTGATTTCTGCCATTGTTTTTGCATTGTAAAATTGTGATTGCTCAGGTTTTCATTGTTAAAGACTGTGTGCTGCCAGAGTGTTTTAACATGTTAGAGGCTGTGTGGTGCTGCCAGAGTGTTTTAGCATTGTTAAAGACTGTGTGGTGCTGCAGAGTGTTTTAGCATTGTTAAAGACTGTGTGGTGCTGCCAGAGTGTTTTTAGCATTGTTAAAGACTGTGTGGTGCTGCCAGTGTGTTTTTAGCATTGTTAAGACTGTATGGCCCTGCCAAAGTGTTTTAGCATTGTTAAAGACTGTGTGGTGCTGCCAGTGTTTTGCATTGTTAGAGGCTGTGGTGCTGCCAGTGTTTTTAGCATTGTTAAAGACTGTGTGTGCTGCCAGAGTGTTTTTAGCATTGTTAAGACTTGTGTTGCTGCCTGATGTTTTAGCATTGTTAAAGACTGGTGCTGCCAGTGTGTTTTTAGCATTGAAAAGACTGTGTGGTGCTGCAGAGTGTTTTAGCATTGTTAAAGACTGTGTGGTGCTGCCAGTGTTTTTAGCATTGTTAAAGACTGTGTGGTGCTGCCAGTGTGTTTTTAGCATTGTTAAAGACTGTGTGGTGCTGCTCAGAGTGTTTAGCATTGTTAAGGGCTGTGTGTGCCAGTGTTTTAGCATTGTTAAAGACTGTGTGGTGCTGCCAGAGTGTTTTAGCATTGTTAAAGACTGTGTGGTGCTGCCAGTGTGTTTTAGCATTGTTAAAGACTGTGTGGTGCTGCCAGAGTGTTTTAGCATTGTTAGAGGCTGTGTGGTGCTGCCAGAGTGTTTTAGCATTGTTAAAGACTGTGTGGTGCTGCCAGTGTTTTTTTAGCATTGTTAAAGACGTGTTGGTGCTGCCAGAGTGTTTTTAGCATTGTTAAAGACTGTGGTGCTGCCAGTGTGTTTTAGCATTGTTAAAGACTGTGTGGTGCTGCCAAGTGTTTTAGCATTGTTAGAGGCTGTGTGGTGCTAGTGTTTTGCATTGTTAAAGACTGTGTGGTGCTGCCAGTGTGTTTTTTAGCATTGTTAAAGACTTGTGGTGCTGCCAGTGTTTTTTAGCATTGTTAAAGACTGTGTGGTGCTGCCAGAGTGTTGCTTGTTATTGAACTTATGGTGCTGCCA